CAAGAAACAATGGCGGGCGAGGCAATTTCATTTAGCAACTAACAGGGGCTCGACATTCAACGTCGGGCTTATACAATACTGCTATCTAGTGTAATAATTGCTACCGGAAAGGTATTTTAATGGAAATACACAAAATGTAATCGATTTATATAATGCTAGCTTTTAGCCGTGACTTTGTACACGTAACCGAAATATGTTCATTGATCATCATGTACTACTATGTACCAAATTTGATAGCGATAGGTTTTGGTAACGCTAAGGCACTACGAGGTGACAAGAAACAAGCTCAATTTCACATTTTATAATATTAATAAGGACAATTAGCAACATATAAACTAAGTTTACCAGAGGAAGACTTTGTACAAAAGTCAATTGCTTGAGTACCTCTATCCCATTCGTGTTTCAACCGTGAAGCAGTTGTGTTTGCATGGCTGTGTTTCGGTTTGAAGGGTGGGATATGGCGTGAATTTACTGGGTACAGGGAATAACACCTGAGTCCTCAGGAATGGCAACGCATGGGGAGTATCATGGGCGAAACAGTATACTCTATTATATCCATGGTACTGCTTATGTCTATAGGCGACGGTTACCACTTTCCATCAGGTGGGCCGTCAGCTTGTTTGCCATTCTAAGTTGTATAAAAAAAAGTTTACATGTTAGTTCATATGGATGTTTACTGTATTTAAGATTATGTAAAATATAACCATAACTTTATATAATGAATGATTTAACATTAAAAATACTGTAGTTAGACAAACTTTTATACTTTATAATTGCAATGTATTATTTTAACGTAACCATCATCATCATATCAGCCTTTAACTGTCCACTGCTGAACATAAGCCTCCCCCTTGGGGGAGAGAGGGGCGGGTTGTCAGTAGTTGCCACACTTTGCAGGCCGATTGGCAACCGCAAGAGGACATTAAGAAAAAAGACTATAAATAATATATAATTCATTTAACTATAAATTAATATGATTTGATCATGAAATTTACACAATTTTACATACAATACAAATGGAAGAAAAAAACTAAATAACAGTAAAACCTGGATTAAATGTTAAGTTATTATGTCGTTTAAAATAAATAAACGGAATAATACAGACGACTTCACTTCACATTGTTTAAAGAAATGCAATCCATTCATTCACTCATTTCATTTAAAATTGTCCAATACATTCATGTCAAATAAGCATAAAGCTTTCTTCAAGAGGTTTCTTCGGGGTCGGCAACGTGCGCGTTATACCCTTGGTATTGCATTGTTCATAGGCTACGGTAACCGCTCATCATCAGGTGAGCCGTATGCTTGTTTACCACCTCAGTCGTATAAATAGAGCTTTTTAATCAAAAACGTGAGATGACACTGTATGTCGTCTCTTTAAAGAATGGTAACCCAACTTGTTTTTAAATGGCTCAATTTTACAATTGATCTTAATTACTTTTCCGTCTCACAAACCATTGTTTTATTCATTTACTAGTTATTACTCATGATTTCATCCGTATGACCGGGATATATACACTGATAGGGATATAAAATAGCCCGTTTCATTCTCTATCTCATATAGAACTTTAGTACCAAATTTTTTTGTCTTAGGTTAAGCCGATAAGGCGCTAAAAGGTAACAATCAAACTTTCACATTTATAATATTAGTAAGGATAATTACCATATTATTAGATTTAATATTTAACATTAATTCCGTCTTTAGTATGCCCAAACACGAAACTGAGCATTTGTATATTTAGTATAAAACAACAAACACGTCAGCTGAAAACTGGCGGTCTTTTTTCGGCCAATTTTTGATACTCGACAATCTGTATATGCTCTAACCCCTTTTTTAGTAAAAGCGTCAAACCTGTCATAAATTTAGTTCAACTAATGTTAATTTCACTCTATTTTCCGCGATAAGCCTCTCATTTTGACCATTTTGCATATGAGTCGTGGCTAGTACAGCCAACCCAGCTTCGCCCAGAAGCATAGATCTTCACAGGCCTCATGGAGCGATCTCACCGTTCCAAGGATTTCTAAACGTTGAGTGGCCACAGCTTCACATTCCAGGATTATGGGAGCAGCCGTTTCTTCGGCGTCAAAACAGCCTCCACATAGAAGGCTGTCTGTGGCTCCTATTGTGTATAAATGTTTGTTTAATAATCGATGGCCCGTTATTGTCCCTATCCATGTTTTTAGGTGTTTTCTGTCTAGATATAACAAACGTTTTGATAGTCGTGTGCTCAACGTTGGCACGGCTGAACTTATGGTCATTATTGCAGTATTTTATCCTTGTCTTTTACGCTAAATTCTCAATTTGAAAGACACTGACAAAACACTGATAGTTAAAATAGGTTTTTTTAAGTTTTTTTTTTTTAAATAAAGGGCTAATATTTTAATCTATTTATCGTACTAATCTTACTATTATAAATGTACAATTCTGTAAAAATGCATCCATATCTAGTGTCGTGTAGTCCCGGCATAAAATAGGCCACCATTTCCCGTGGATATCGTAAGAAACGACTAAAGGGATTGCCAGCAGCGTCCCTCTTAAAAATCACTAAAGCCTAACTGCGATTGCAAACCCGCTTACCAGGGGGGAAAGGGATTGTTAGTAATGGGGTCTAATAGCCCCATTACGGGCAATATACCATCAGTTTAACCTCCACGCGGTTCCCCCTGAAAACCACCACCACCACCAACCAATTCTTGTCGAATTCATCATGGTGGGCCAACTAACTTTCATTCATTCTCACCTATCATCTTCCACTGGTGCCTCGTCGGTGTATACTAATAGCGCGGGCGAGGTTACCAATCCATTTTCACCCATTAAAAAAAATACCCGCTTACCTTGTGTAGCAACTACTGGCAAAACCCCCCTTATGGTGGAGGTGGGTTATGGTGTGGTGGTTCAGTGTTCAGCAATGGACAGTTACCGGCTGACATGATGACGATGGTACATGTCTAGATTTTTGTTACTCAATCACCAGTATACGCAATACGTATAAAGAGTAGTACGTATATATTTGTTTGATACGGATACTAGATAATCACGGTATTTTTTATATATTTGTATAAATATAAGTATATAAAGCTGCTTAGATACATAACTATCTGTAACTCAGTCACGTCAACACGGTTGAATGGATTTGAAAAAAATATTGTACGGTAATTTAAACTAACATTGTAAAGAGGAAAGATTTAATACTTTGTTCGCTTGTTTGCAAACTCAAAAAGCGGTTAACAGATTTTCAAAATTCTCTCACCTATAGGAAGATACATTATCAACAATGAACCTACATAGGCTATATTTTATTTAAAAAAAAAATTGTCCAAAGCAGGCGCGAGACAATAGTAGAAACTAATATAGTAAAAAGGCAATACTTCTATCTTTATTTGTATTAGATAAACTTAAAAAAATACTAAATCGATTAACAAGATTCCTTTGTCTATAGAACGCTACATTATCAACGAGTAATATTATATGATAAATTAAATATGATAACTATACTTTTTCTATTTTAAATGTTTAACTTAAATTTTAAATTAAAATCTTATAACTGGATACTGCTTAGTAGTTTGTATTCACACAAATTCATTATATATATATATATATATATATATATATATATATATATATATATATATATATATATATATATATATATATATATATATATTATAGCAACAACTGATATATATATATATATATATATATATATATATATATATATATATATATATATATATATTCCGAACGAATTTATTGGTAATGCAAAAATGACTATACAAAAATGATTATATGTAAGTTTACTTAAATAAAAAAAAAATCTTTCTAATAATCTATCGGTATTAAACCGTAGCGGGTCGCTAGTAGACTATATTCGAGATTAAAACAAAAGCCATACAAATCATCTATTAATAAATAACAGTAAAACTCACTCATTCATTTATTCACTCATTCATTTTCTCATTCACTGACTAGCAAACGAATGAACCTTAAAAATAAAGATTCTATAAGATGTAGAGATATTTCATTAAGAAAGGATTTTCCTAAATTCCCATGGTAACTGGATATCAGGGATTCGAGGGGATAAAGCTACGGAAAACAATGGATACAATATAAAATAAAATATCTTACCTGAGTACATAAATAAATGTACTTTCTCTCAAATGAATTGTTGTATATAAAATGGCTTTAGAACCTAAGTTCTGTTTTAGGCTTATATTCTTATACTGATTTAGGTATTCATTTATATTTTTGTAAATTACACACATTTTCTGTATATAAAAATAACTGATAATAATCAATAAATAATTTAAACTACTTTTAATTTTACACTGTATAAACTTTTATAAACCATATTAGCTTTTTCTTTTCTTTTTACGTCACTCATATTTTTCTTGTAATACAATTCTTTATTGTTTCTTTTGTAATAATCGTACACTTTTTATTAATATTGTAACGTATTGGAACACGGCTCGATCGATATGCTATTTTTTATTTTTATTTGCTATTAAGAACATTTACTTAATAAATTTTATTAGAGAAAACAAAAATGAAATTTAGACAGGATAATAAATAAACTTTTTTTTTTTATAAAATGAAAATAAAATGTAATTATAAATGTATTTCTGTTCTGTGTGAAAACAATACTTTTCAAATATTTTTATTTATAGATACTATGACAGGTGATAAGTTTGCAACTTTGTACATTTTTTTACTCTGATTGTAATTGTTTGACAGGAGTCCTTGGACATACAATGTTATGGATATATAACAAAATAAGAAATATACAGAGTGTGTCGAAAATTATGTGATTGAAGATTTAAAATCATAAATTAATGTTTTAATATTTTATTAAAGAAAGCTACAAAAGAGGAAGAAAATAATCGAATAAATATTTCTTAAACAAATATAACAACACGACATTATTTGCATTGCAATCTTACACTCGTATAGAAAATATTATAAACAGATGATATTATAAATAGATTTATTTGTATCCACTCACCTGTTGTTCACGCCGAAATCGCCCGCCTGGCCACACAAACACAGCTCCTTACAATAATAATAAGTCTCTTGTAAATTATACCTCAATATCAGAATAATTCAGTCGAATTTATTATCATCAATTATATGGAAGACAAATTTATGTCTTTAGCCGTGTATTTTTTTTAATTATTAAACGTCAAAAGATCATCATTGGTGTTCGTATTTCAAAAATCGAAGCTCCAAATTTAGGCTGTGGAGCTGCCGGATTTTTCTTTTTTATTTTTGGCAAAATTATTGTCCGTGACGCGTTTTCGCCGTGCCGTCGGGGGTTAGACTGAAATTGTGGTCTGAAAACAGGGGCTGTAGCAACGTAGGTGTAGCTGCGAGTGGGTGTCTTTTAGAGAGGGTGGGAGCTATCTGTGCTTGTGTTGGAGTGAGAGAGATAGGTATATAGGCGCAGGGGGAGCTCTGCTCACGTACTCGTCTCTTCATGTCAGGAAGAATAAGTAGGCGTCCGTAATTGAACCTTTTGATTGGGGTTTTCCGAATTTAATATGTGACTATCATCATGACTTCTGATACACTACTCAATAAATTAACGTTTAAGTTCTACAAAATCCACTTTAGTTGTAACAAGATTAGTTAGTGTAAGACCAACTTCAGTAACGTTTTTCATTATAAAAAGACTCATCAAAAAAAATTATTTTTATGGTTTGCGGTACAGTGTTCAAGGCATCCCGTCCTCGCTATTGGATACGGGTGATGGAATGCCTATACAAGAGGGTACATGGTGGGCGCAGTTTATAGGCAATATTTGAGGAGCATTAGGACATCAAAATTGGTTTGAATTTATCATTGTTACTTAGAAGCCAAAAATAGAGCCGAATTGAGAACTTCCTCCCTTTTGAAATCGATTAAAAACATACTTTCTTCGTTACTTTTCGACACTTTAACGGTTCAATCAATTATATTATCTTGTACCTATCAGCCGTTAACTGTCCACTGCTGAACATAGCCTCCCATATGAGAGGGTTTATGCTGGTAGTTGCCACGTTTAACAAACGGGTTAGCAATCGCAGCTTGGCTTTTGGTGATGTTTTAAGAGATACGCTGCTGCCCATCCTTCGACTATAAGTTCCCTTAGTCACCTCTCATGGCACCCACGGGAATGGAAGAGGTGTCCTATTCTACACCAGGACCTTCACAGCTTCAGCAGCTTCAGTGGGTTCAACCAATGGTGTTACCTATTTTAAGATGAAATTTGAATTTGAGGCCATAATTTATCTGGGTCAATAAACATATCCAGTCTCACGGACGTCATAGAAGAGAACTACTGTAAAAAAAAAATAGCGTACCAGTATGAAAATAAATGCTGTCTATTGCAAAAAGAAGTATCAAAATCGCTTCAGAATTGGCGAAGATATAGGTTAACATACACACAAAAATATTGAGTAGAAATGAGAGACTTAATTTTTGAAAGTTATTTAAAAAGTGCTAAATATTGTTTAATAAATAATTTTATGGGAAAATCTTTCTCATATTGAAATGTCCAGTTATGGATCAATAATATATATACATATATATATATATATATATATATATATATAATAACGAAATAAAGAGCCTTATCTAAATGAATATAAATATCAGACTGGTACGGGCGATATCGGATTGAAATCAAAAGAAACTAATATAGATATCGACGCGATACTGTTATTACCCATGCCTAATATAGGGCCATGACTTTTTTGATTCTATGTATTTTGCATAAACTGTATTCTTAACAAACCTATTGCGTATTCGAACGGAGATCTTATTAGAAGTTTGTATAATACGAGATAAGAAGAAAGATGCTTACAAAAGAAATACAGGTTCACAAAAAAAAAAAACATATAATTGAAAAGGCCTCTTGATTATAATATCGATTTGAACATCAAAGTGAAGCTTTTGAATCTATCAATATACAATGATCTTATTTTACATTATTCTTATTATATTACTTGTATTATATATATATATATATATATATATATATATATATATATATATAGCGGAAGCTATACATAGGAAATAATTTCTGATATAATTTTCACTTCATAATAGAAAAAGATGTCATTCTACCTTGTTGTTTTCGAAAAACTGGCCCACTAATTTAATTTATATTTGTAAATCACCGTGTCTTGGTAATCTCTTATGCACTTCCGGTCTATGCGATACAGTCGCTGTAAATTTCTTGTATTGAATAAATAAATAATATATATATTAGGTATACGGACATTGATAAAATTAAAAAAATATATACATATATAATATATAGGCAGGCCACTAAAGAAACACAATGGTCGAGGAACGGGCAACAGCGTCCCATTTAAACATCACCAAAGCCTAACTGTGGTTGCCAGTTGCCAATCCGCCTGCCAAGCGTAGCAACTGTTGGCAATAACCCCCATAGGGGAGGCCTATGTTTAGCAATGGACAGTCAACAACTGATATAATGAAATAGATATACCAAAATTCATGGCAACTGATTACTTTACGTTTAGACGCCAAGTGGTAACAAATAATCTCAACTCACTTTAACATTTAGAAGATTAACCAACTTTTGCCCGCAACTTCGCTCGCATGTAGTATTAGATTTTTCGCAGAACATTTCACCTTTATAGCTTCCCAACTCACGAAATTCTGTACAAACTTTCAACCCCCAATTCATCTCTTTAGGGGTTGAATTTTCAAAATTCCTATCTTATTGTTCATCTTCGCTATATAATGAACCTACCTGCAAAATTTCATGATTTCAGCGGTTTCGACTTTGCGTTGATATATGGACCAGTCAGTCAGTCACCCAACATCCACTTTTATAATATGTAGTTAAATATTAACGTGAAACTTAAAATTGAATATTACTTATTTTCTTGGTTTATTTTCTTTTTTCTTTTTTTTTTTTAATATTGGTTACTTATTCTTAATTTTATTATGATGACTATAGATTTAGAAATTACGATTTACTACCAAATATTTTACTCATAATTCTTATTTTGCTTCTATAATTTCAATGGAATTAGATTAATAGTTTCGATATTCAGTAAATTTTTGATATAAAATCAATTTTAAAATAAATGAGTACACGCTACTATTATATCTCTCTTAAAAAGTATAGGTACTACATATACATTGTTTAACAAAATTCTAAGTAATTAAACATTGTTTTATCGGTATAACAAGGTTTATTTTTAATTTTAAGTGCCAAAATCTATTGATTTAAAATAATTAAAGTTTATTATTACAAATACATTTAAATTTTAATAAGATAAACTATATTTTGTTTGAACATTAATAGGTGTTAGACGCCCTTCTGTAGTAAAGCCACTAAACATGTGTTTAATAACGGTTTATCGGAAGTGTAACCTTTTTGTGATTAACACCGCATTAGTTTAGATTTCACTCTGTAAAGATTAACTGCTAATTCGTAACGAAGTGTCACATTGTCTAAGCCCTGAGGGCCTACCACAAAATGTTTTCCGAAATTTCGGAGCCGAACGAAACACAAATTTGATGTTAAAATTACATAATACTTACCATTTAAAAACATTAAAAATATTAAAATATTATTCCTTTTGACTTTTATGGTAGGATTTATGACGAACGAAATGTTAAGCTCCATTTGCTGGGCCGATTTATGTATAAACGAAAACACGAAATTAAGTCCGAAACTTCGGAATTTCAATTCATGGTAGGCCCCCTGATTATCTCTCGCCGCTCACACGGCGTCGCTTTCGTCAAGTGATTTACAACAAATCGTCTCTCATACATAGCTCATTAATTTTAACAAGCGACTAAACCCTAGCTACGGTTTTATGAATCGTAAAAGTTGAATCACTCAGCGAGCTTTGGAGAGGGCTATGCTCGGAGTCTCTTACCGTGATAGGATCCTAAACGAGGATATCCGCAAAAGAACCAAAATGACCGACATAGTCCGAAGAATAAGCAAGCTGAAGTGGCAATGGGCTAGTCACATAGTTTAAGGAACCGACAACTAAAGGGGAAGAAAGATTTATGTGTGCCGACCCCGTACGGAAAAACGCATTGTTGGACGACACCCCCCTCCCCCACTAGATGAAGTGACGACCTGAAATACATTGCAGGAAGTTAGTGGATGCAGGTGGCTCGGGACTGTTCTTTATGGCAATCTATGTGGGAGGCTTATTTCAGCCATTATGTCCAGCAGTGGATGGACCACTACTGGACATAATGGCTGAAATGAATGACGATGAAAAAAGTTGAAAAATATTCATTGACTTGTTTTGTCAACGAACAAGTACGTTTTTAATATCATCGCAAAACTATAGAATTTTTGATTTATATATTTGTTTACTCTTTAATTTACAGCTTAAGTAGCACTGTCCCTCTGTTAACAACACCAAAGCTTAACTGCGGCAATCCGCCTGCCAAGCGCGGCAACTACTGTTGCTACTATCCCCCCCTCTCCAGGGGGAGGATTATGTTCACCAGTTAAAGCCTAATACGATGATGATGATGACGCAAATAAACATATTTTGTCGACCAATTTATTTATTTCAAGTAAACAGTTACATAGACAATACGTATTCTTAGTGCCGTGAAACTGCTTTGCATTTTGTCTGCAGCTTTGATTTCAAAGAGAATATTCTCAAATCAATTGAAACGTTTGTTACTCTATACCTGCACTGCATTTGATGTTTCAAGAATGGCACAGCATAAGAGAAACCAAGGACGTCGAAGTTTTTTTTTTTTTTTTATCACTTAAGAGGCAAACGAGCATGGAGTAAACGTCGCCATCCATTAAATAGCAACATCAGAGAAACTGCAGGTGAAATTGCAATTCTTATAGCACCCATGGCACTGTTCTTGTCTATAAACAACTGTCATCATATTATATTACGTACCTCGTCAGTTTGTTTGCCATATTTAATTTTAAAAACTTTTAAAAATCGTAACCCTCCTTTTTGCTTCACCGCAATGAGATGTAAATGTTCAAATCAATTTCCTAGGCGAATAACGCACCTTGAATAAAAAAAAAAAAGATTATTAAAATCATTTCTAACGGGACTAATAAAATCGATATCACAAATAATAAAGCTCTCTTAGCATAATATTGAAATTTCACGTCTCAAATTCAAATTAGAACCTAATCTCTGGATATAATAATAAAAACGTCAAAAGGCCGAATCTGTACATTGAATATTTATTTCAAAAGACTTATATATATATACTCATTTTTAGAGTTCCGTTTTGAGGGTTCAAAGGAAAAACGGATCCCTTATAGGATCACTTCGTTGTCCATCCA